GGTCGTTCATATTCGAGCGGAGCACGGCCGTGCGAGAGCGCGTCTCGCGCGAGACAGTACTATTGCCTGGTGTGCGGGCGCTCAGTTCAGGTGTATGTGGGACACTTCGGGACTGATACCCGATCTAAGGTGTGAGGAGAGGCACAGAATGGAAAGGGCAGCGCCAATGCATTCTCTAGCTACTGCCAGTGAGCCTCTACACGCCCAGCTGTGGATACATAGTTGCCTGTTCTGGCAAATAAATGGAAAATGCTTAGGAGAGTATTGGTTCTTTTATTCTCAGTAGGTACCGGGGAAGATGACAGAGGAACTGGGTCTCCCGGGACAGGACTCTGATGGCGGTAGTGAGGAGGTGGTTCTAACTCCCGCAGAGCTCATTGAACGGCTGGAGCAGGTGAGCACCCCAAGTAGAATCCCCTTGCTCCCATCTTGGCCTTTTTATTCAGTCCAACTGTGCAAATGTCAGGAATCGGGAAATGAAGAAATGGAACTCAAGAGAAGAGGGACTGGATCTTCCCATCTACACAGAAATTAAAAATAGGGGTGCCAGCCTCTGCTAGAGACCTCATTATGTCAAATATAAATCCTCAGATGGGGCCAGGAGGGAGCAGCCTTGGGTACATTGACTAGAACAGTTCACAGAGCAAGCATTTGTGACGTGCAGGGACTACGGAAATGAGGTGGTGACTTGTACGTTTTTGCCTTAGTCCCTTGAAACATCTGCTGGTTCTCCTGTAGAATGCCTGGTTTAGCAAAAAACGACTGAAACACTTCTTTTTTTTTTTAAGAGAAACCTGGTATTATTATTATTCACCCTTTTCCTTCCATATACTTTATTTTTTCAACTGTTCTCTATATTCCACTTCTTATCTAAAATCATTTATAGGCTATCTCTCCATTCAGTCATAATAGCTATGGTTTGATTGTTTCCTGTGTGCCAGTAACTGTTATTTACAATTACTATCTTGTGAAGCTATGGTGTTCAGACTATCTGTATTTAAATTCCTCCATGCCGCTGGTCTATTATGTGACCTTAGGCAAATCACATAGCTTGTCTCAAGCACGTCTTTGACTGTAAAATAGAATTAATAATAGTAGCTACCTCACAGAATTGTTGGGATTAAATGAGATAATACACATATAAAGTGCGTAGCATGTTATATTATCTGACACATGATAAACTCTCGTTGAATATTAGCTGTGAGTAGTAATAATTCTTACAACCCACTAAGGGAGGTATTGCTGTTATCTCCATTTTACAGATGAGGAAACTGAAGCTTAGAGATTTGTAAAGAAATTTACCTAAGGTCACACATTGGCAGCAGAGCCAGGAAATAAACCAGGTCTCTGGCCACAAAATGTATGTTCTTCTCTTAAAATACATTTTTATTGATTTCAGAGAGGAAGGGAGAGGGAGAGAGAGATAGAAACATCAAGGATGAGAGAGAATCATTGATTGGCTGCACGCCCCCTACTGGGGATTGAGCCCACAACCCGCGCTTGTGCCCTTGACTGGAATCGAACCCTGGACCTTTCAGTCCGCAGGTCGACACTCTATCCACTGAGCCAAACCAGCCAGGGCCAAAATGTATGTTCTTAATCCACTACACCTACTGCCTTATTCTTGCCTACTCCCTTTCTAGAACTCACTCATGTTTGTTACTTTAGTACTTGTATTCTTCATTCTTTCCTACCATATGTGCCATCATAATTTTAAAATTATATCCTAATCCTTACTATATAGTAGTGATTCTTAATTTGTTTTTATATCACAGACTTTTTTAAAAAGCTGGCCCTTCTTCCCAAAATAACACATCTATATATCCATGCAAAATTTGGCGTATGATTTTAGGAGGTTCACAGACACCCTAAAATCTGCTCTCCTAGTTTGTGGACCTCAGTTTAAGAGCCCCTGATTTATTAGGGAAGAATTCATTGAACAAAAAGCACAAGGCATAAAGGAAAAAACTGATAAATTCAACTAAATTAAAGTTAAGAACTCTTGTTTTTACACCTTGAAAGTAAAAAGACATGCCACAAAATTGGGAGAAAATATTTGCAACAAATATAACTGACAAAAGATTAGTATCCACAGTACATAAACAAACTTTACAAACTGACCAGTAGAAAAATGAAGTCTTAACAGGCATCTCCCAGAAGCAGAAAGCAGGATGGCCGACAGTCATATAAAAAGATTTTCAACCTTTTTAGTAGTCAGGAAAATTAAAATTTAAATCCCAATGAAATATCACTTCATACCCATCAGATTGGCAGAAATGAAAAAAATGAACAATATAAAATATTGGGAAGTGCACTTGTATACTGCAGGGAGCATATAAATTGATACCATCATTTTGGAAAATAATTTGTTATTGTAAAGTTGAAGGCCCACATATCTTGTGGCTCAATCATTCTACTCCCTGGTATATACCCTAGAGAAAACTTTCATGTGTACTCCAGGAGGCATGCACAAACTGTTCATAGCATTGCTTGCAATAATACTGTAAACACCCCAATATCCTACAATAGAATGGATTGGATAGAACAATAGAATGGATAAAAAAAATTATGGCATATACACACAATGAGAAAACAACAACAATAAAGTGAATAAAAGATAGCTCCTGCTACAGCATGGATAACAACCAGGAACATAGCATAGAACAACAAAAAATACATTGCTGAAGAAATGATTAAATTCAAACTTTTTCAAAACGATTGTTGAAGGAAGAGCTTGTCAGCTTGGATGATGTGGCACACACTGATGTGCTGCATGTGCCTCAGTGATGTTAACCCTTCACTCCCGGGCAGCCAGAGCCACCAGGCTGGGTGTCATCAGGGCTCCTGGAAGGCAGCCTGAGGATAGTGGCGTCTGACAGCACAGCCTCAGCTTGGCAGTGGGCGAGCATGACTTGTTCCTCTGGCCTGATGCTCTCCTGCAGTGCCCTGAGTGCAGCCAGGGAGTTGGTCCACCACCTGGACAGCTTTTGCAGACACAGACTGAGGCTGCATAGCCTAAGAAGCACCCTGACAAGGGCCACTGATAAACACAGCTCCAGGAGTATATATGGGGTATTCCTGAATGTCTGTAAAAACTGACTTGAAAGTTATTACCTACAGTGCATAGTTTTTCATTTTAATGACTAGAGGCCTGATGCATGAAGATTCGTGCAAGAATGGGCCTTCCTTCCCCTGGCTGCCAGCACTGCCTTCACTCTGGCCCAGAGCCACCTTTCTGTCTTTGCTCCAGCCCGGAGCCGCCTTTCTGCCTTCCCACACTGCCCAGAGGCCCGGAGCAGCTGGGGCGGTACGGAACGTTGATGATGCAAGCGTCCCACCCCATCCCTGGCCCCTCAACACCTGTGTATGCAAATTAACCGGCCATCTATGTTGTGTTAATTTGCATACTCCTGATTGGCTGGTGGGTGTCGTGAAAGTACGGTCAATTTGCATCTTTCTCTTTTATTAGTGTAGATTGTATTAGTTTGCTAAGACTGTATGTCAAAGTACCACAGACTGGGTGGCTTAAAGAACAGAAGTTTATTTTCTCAACTGTGGAGGCAAGAAGTCTAAAATCAAGGTGCTGCTGATTGGGAAGTGCACACACTGTATACTGCAGTGAGCATATAAATTGATACAGTCAACAGGTTGATTTCTTTTGAGGCCTATCATCTAGGCTTGTAGATGGTCGTCTTCTCCCTGTGTCTTCACATGGCTTCCCTCTGTGTGTCTGTGTTCAAGTGTACCCCTCTTAAAAGGACTCCAGTCATATTGGATCAAGGTCCACGTAAATGACCTCATTTTAACTTAAAGACCCAATCTCCAAATACAGTCACATTCTAAGGTACAAGGAGTTAAGACTTCGACCTATGAATGAGGGGTGGAAGGAGACACACTTTAGCCCACAACATGAACAGATTATCATTAAAAATGTTGATCAAGAACAAGATGTAGCCCTAGCCAGTTTGCCTCAGAGGATAGAGCGTTGGCCCGCGGACTGAAAGATCCTAGGTTCAATTCTGGTCAAGGGCTCGTACCTCAGTTGCAGGCTCAATCCTCAGCCCTATTTGGGGCGCATGTGGGAGGCAACCAATCAATGTCTCCCTCTCACATCAGTGTTTCTCTGTCTCTCCCCCTCCCTTCTGCTCTCTCTCAAAATCAATGGAAAAATATTCTTGGGTGAGGATTAAAAAAAAAAGAACCAGATGTTGTCATTTTAAATATAGAACCTAATTATTAAAAAAAAAAAAAAAAAAGAAGACCATGGATTTAAACACAAATTTTTTACTGAAAATTTTGAAAAGATTTAATTTTAAAGTTTTATACTAATATTCCCCCCCGTTTTATATTTTATCATAATTTCATAATATAAATGAGAAATCTCATCCCCAAATCTAGTCCATTTTACCCCAGTGTACGGTACCAGCACTATCATTTTTAAAAAAATGATAGCTGGTTTTTTTTCATTCCTTGTCATGTAAAAATTGGAAAGCACTACTAAGAGTTAAAAACAAATGTAGGGAAACTGTACAGAATATTAAACACCAAATTCAGGCTAATGATTACCTCTGAGAAGGGAAGGACACAGAAACTTAAAATAATGACAATGTTTGATAATGAAGTTAAATGTACACAGATATTTATATTACTATTCTTCATGTTCATATGTATTTTATAAGTATTTTGTAACTATTAATATTTAATAAAGTCAGTTAAAAAGAAAAACTTCTTTATAAGTTTTCCATGACAGTTTGCTCTTTCATTCATTATACTTCTTGTCTTTCTGGGTAACTTCTGCAACACTAGTACAGAAGCTTGAGCACCTGAAAAAGTTTATGATAGTAGCAATACCCAGTACTTAAGAATGTGTCTTGATGGTGATAATTGGAGAAGCAGAGACTCAATGATGTCAAAAGAAATAAACTGAGCCTAATTGGCATGTAATTCTGAGCTGTGCTAAAACTAAATTTTCTGTATCTGAAAGATAAGTAAACATTTCCTCAGTCACCTGTGGGCATTTTCATTTTCTAAGCCTTCGTAATTTCTGAAATGCACCAAGCATCTGTGCCTGAGTCATAAATTAGGGATTTAAACTCTTGTTCCAAAGCTGTTTAATAGATGAATATTCACTTCTATTGCCATTCTTTATATTCTTGGACATTAGTAAATAACTTAATCTGTGTTTTCTCATCAATAAGATGAGGTTAACTATATTTTTTTCCTCTCAGATATTATGATGAACAAAAACTATTTGCAAAGTGCTTTGAGATTCAGGAATGAAGAGATGTATAGATTTATTAGTGTTACTGCATCTCCCCAAATAGATAGGTGCTAGTGCCCCCTGGTGGAAATTGCAGGTGAAGGGAATGTGTTGATGCTACTTGGTAAAAGGTACTGTTTGAACACCAGGTGGTGTTACTCTCAGCAACAGGTTTTCTAACAACATTTTTGAAGTGAACAGTGATTTTTTTGTAATGTTGGTTAAATATAAGGTTGCAAACCCAATTTCCTACTAAAAGAAATGGAAAAACTGTTATTAAACAGCTTGCCTTCAGCACATTTCCACATTTCCAGTATTTCCAACTGGTAGGCAGTTTTCTTTACCTGAAACAGCTGTGATTTTCATGGGGTATGTACTGACTTACAGGGTTGTTTTGCTCCATTATGAGTAGTGTGTGTGTGTGTGTGTGTGTGTGTGTAATTTTTTTTGGTGTTGTTTTTTAGGCTTGGATGAATGAAAAGTTTGCCCCTGACCTTCTGGAAAGCAAGCCTGAAATTGTGGAATGTGTCATGGAACAGCTAGACCACATGGTAAGAACTGCTTATCCCAGGGTTATAAAGGAGGAGAATATTAAAAGAGTTTGTCAGTATAGTGAGAGGTCTGATAGCAAATCTCTTTTGTTTGGCCCAGTCTAGTTTGTTTTTAAGTATTGAATTAGTTATCTACCTTTACAAAGCATGAAAGTACCTGTGAATATCTGAATATCAGCTTCCCATGAGAAGTCTAAAAACCTATCATCACCAGCCCCATGTTTTTATACGAAAACAGCTGACCAAGGCAAGGTAAGGGCCTCCGCCTTTCAGTGAAGTCTCAGTGCCCCATAGTCCCTAACTGCTCACCTTTCTCCTATATCAGGGGTCCTCAAACTACGGCCCGCGGGCCACATGCAGCCCGCTGAAAACATTTATCCGGCCCGCCAGGTGTTTTTGCCACCGCTGCCTGTCCTGCTTAGCAGCCGACTCGTCCCGGGCCCGCAGTGCGCATGTGTGGAATGTCTGAGGGACAGTGAACTGGCCCCCTGTTTAAAAAGTTTGAGGACCTCTGTCTATATCTTACCTGCCTGTTCCCAGTAGACATGTGAGTTTGTGGCCCTTGTCTTAGATGAGCTTGGCCTAAGTCATTATCAACCTCAGAGTAGCTTTAAAACATCGATATTTTATGGTTTCTCAATTGATGTTTTAACTACTTTTTAGACTTTAGACCAGCCGTGGGCAAACTACGGCCCGCGGGCCGGATCCGGCCCATTTGAAATGAATAAAACTAAAAAAAAAAAAAGACCGTACCCTTTTATGTAATGATGTTTACTTTGAATTTATATTAGTTCACACAAACACTCCATCCATGCTTTTGTTCCGGCCCTCCGGTCCAGTTTAAGAACCCATTGTGGCCCTCGAGTCAAAAAGTTTGCCCACCCCTGCTTTAGACGTTTCTTCTATCTGCTGTATTATCTCCTTTACAATTGGGTTGGAGTTCTTGTAGGCCCTTCTGACCAATCATATTCAGATTCGATTTAACTATTCTAAAAGTACAGGTACACCTAGTTTATATGTGTGTTTTAATATATTTTTATTGAGTTTAGAGGGAGGAAGGGAGAGGATATAGAGCTAGAAACATCGGTGAGAGAGAAATATCGATTGGCTGCCTCCTGCATGCCCCCCACTGGGGATCAAGCCCTCTCTGGGCATGTACCCCAACTGGGAATCCAGTTATGACCTCTTGATTCATGGGCCAGTGCTCAACCACTGAGCCACACCATCCAGGCCAGGTACACCTAATTTTATTGCACTTCACATGTGTTGAGTTTTTTACAAATTGAAGGCAAGACCCTCCCACCCCCCACCAGCAAAAAGATTATGACGCGCTTTATTGTGGTCTGGAACAAAACCCACAATATATCTGAGGTATGTCAATGAGTATTGTTTGAACTTTATGTGATAAGACTGAAGTCATATATTATTTGTGTAATTAAGGAATTAAAATAGAACTCTTGGGAGTATTTTGTTCTCCTTTGACCTAAATGTAGTGTTCGAGCCCTCAACATTGCCAATGATGATGGTCCTTGTGGGCTCTGTGTAGATTAAACAAAGAAGGTTCTTAGTCTTTGAATATCATGTTTTTTATAAACTTCATTTTCCCTTTTAATAGGAAGAAAATCTCAGGAGAGCAAAGAAGGGGGACCTGAAGATCAGTATCCATCGAATGGAGATAGAGAGGATCCGTTATGTCCTTAGCAGCTACTTGCGGTGTCGGCTCATGAAGGTTTGACATGGGGATATCTGTAGGCATTAAGGCGATGCAGTCTATAATATAGACAGAACATCTTGGGGAAAACTTGGGCTGGGGCCTGGGAGGGTCCAGGCCCTGAAGATGCTGCTGAGGTCCAGTATCAGGGTAGCTAAAGAGTAAGAGGACAAGAGATTGTTCTGGAGCATAGAGGGAACATGTGCTGCACACCTCTGGGAACACATTTTTAGCCAACTTTTTGGCTGTGTGAATGGTGTCCCCTGGAGTTACAGCCTGGCAGTGCTGCCTTGACAGTCAACCAGAGTCTGCAGCCATCTAACTTGTAAAAATGCAGAACATTCCTATTTTGTATGGTATCTGTTTTAACCCTAGAAAGTTCTTCTTGAAGTTTCTTCTCTGGCTCTGCTTATCCCCTTAGTTATCACTGAATGAATACATGCTCCTACATAAGAATTCTTTAGACATCTGAAAACAGTTCACGAGTCTCATTGAACCCTCTCAGTTAAATGTTTCAACCATTTATTTCCATTTACTCTCCTGGTCTCTTCCCTACAAAGTTCTAGTTGGTCAGTATCCTTCTTTAATTATACCACCTGAACTGAATACAATATTTCAGTTGTAGTTTGATCATGTTTGTGAAAAGCAGGATGGTCACTTCCCTTATTTTGGATATTAAAATGGTAATAATACTGCCTGGTATTACATTAGTATTTAGGAGACTCCTCACACTGAGCTCACATGCACTCATTGTAAACTTTAACCGTATCTGAAGTTTTTAAGTTATTGTTACCCCATCCTGTCACCGTCTGGTATTTGTATGGCTGGATCTTTGACTCTTAAATGTAGGGTTTGATACTTATCCCTCTTAAGCTTAACTTATTAAATTGGGCCATTTCCATGGTCTCTAGATCCTGATCTTGTCACCTAATGTATTACTCTCTCTTAACACTTTATGTCATCGCAAGTTTGATAAGTATGTCATGAAACATCTTACCTGACTCCTTAAATAGGTCTGGGCCAATGATAGGATATTCCACCAGAGGCTTTCCCTACCCATTGACATCTCTCCGTTGAATCAATATTTTTTGTTCAACTGTTTTTGAGTCTCCCACTCTATACTGTCACCCAGCCCCAGGTTTACAGTTCGTTCCCAAAGGTGTCAGAAAGACATTATCATGTTTTGAAAATATTGAGACACCCCCAACTGCCAGGCCACTCCCTTTTCTGTTGTTTTTTGTATAAATCCTCTTGGTGTTAACTACTTACTTTTCTTTGAATTCATAAACCATCTTTTAAATTATCTATTCTAATATAATGCCACATATCAGGGTTAAGGACACTAATCTGTATGTGTAGATTCCCTACCTTCTGTATTTGGGAAATTTTCAAAAGAACTAATTCTTCTGAGTTTAGGAAACTACATAAATTTTTAGTACACTAAGTGATACAGTAGTAGTAGCAATTTACATATAACAGGAGAAAGTTCTTTGTGCACTTAAGTCCCATATAAATGCTAATATAATTTATCCTGGAACATAATTGATCCAAGCCAAATGACTTACTACTCCTTTAAATAAATAACTGCTTGCCTAGCCAACATGGCTCAGTGGTTGAGCATCGAACTATGAACCAGGAGTGCACAGTTCCATTCCCGGTCAGAGTACATGCCTGGGTTGTGGGCTCGATCCCCAGTGGTGGTTGTGCAGGAGGCAGCAAATCAATGATTCTCTCATCATTGATGTTTCTCTCTCTCTCTCTCTCTCTCTCTCTCTCTTCCTCTCCCTTCCTCTCTGAAATCAATACAAATATATATATTTTTAAAAGAAAAAATAAATAACTGCTCCTTTAGCTTGGGCTTCAGTTCCTCCTTGCCATTGTCATTTCCCTGCTTATATCACTGACTTCAGACAACAGGTCATGTCTTTGACCTTCCAGGTTCATGTCTTTTTGTAGCTTTTAGCTATTTTTTTCCCCTAGTAGTTCTTCGCATTTTTTTCCAAGCCTTACCTCATTGTAGGCTTTATGCTTGCTGTTTACATTTTTATAATTAAGTGTCACTGTTCTATCTACTTCTGTATTCTGTATGCATCTTTCCAGCTTTTGTATATGTTTCATCTCATAGAATACCCTGTACAATTACATAGGATGTTAAATAATATACCCTTTTCTTCCTCTTAAATATCATTTACAATTGTATTTTCAGATTATCTTTTATGAAAGCTGTTGGAAGCTACCCATTGTCTTCACTATCAGAAAAGTGTAAACAAGAATCCCGGAATGCTGGTGAACCTTGAGCTCTGGCAAGGGCCAAAGCTATGCACCAATTGTTTAGTCGAGACAATTGTGGCTCAAGCAATTTCCTGACAAAATAGTCTCAAAGTAAATCTTTACTAATATTTACTGACCTTTAAGATAGTCTGTCTATTACCGGAATTGCCTGCCTGACTAAGGGCAATGGGTGTATCCAAAATTGAATAAAGGTTGGCAGGGCCTGGGCACCAGCGAAGTCCTTCCCCTAGCGTTGGACTCTCCGCCTGGCCCCCAATTTCCAAATTATTATTTCTTGTCTCGTCTCATCATTTGCCCGCAGCCCTTCTCCAGATCCCAAACCCTAAGCCACACGGGATGTGGCTTCTCACAGAAAGCATCTAATTAGTTTTAGAGCCCTTATGTTTCCTCTGAATTCTTTGAAACCTACCTTCTTGCAGTCTAGAATATAGGTCTTATTTTTAAAAACAGTCTTGACAAGGAAGATTTGCCATTGTTGAAGTCAATTTTTGTATTAACTTCAACCTATTTCAGGAAACTAATGCCTGGCCGGTGTGGCTCAGTGGTTGAGTGTTAACTTCTGAATCGGGAGATCACGGTTCATTTCCCATTCAGGGCACATGCCCAGATTGTGGGCTCCATCCCCAGTGTGGGGCGTGCAGGAGGCAGCCAATCAATGATTCTCTCTCATCATTGATGTTTCTCTCTCTCCCTTTCCCTCTCCCTTCCTCTCTGAAATCAATAAAAATATAGATTTTTTTAAAAGAAAACTAGTATGTTTGACACTTGAGTTTTGACAGGTGTTTTCATGATGATTTTCATTTATCCCACAGATAGAGAAGTTTTTTCCTCATGTCCTTGAAAAGGAGAGAACACGCCATGAGGAGGAGCCTTCCAGCCTTTCTCCAGAAGAGTTTGCCTTTGCCAGAGAGTGAGTGAGCAGTGAGTGTGGGCACTGCCTTTCTTTCCCCGGCCTGTGAGCATGAGTTTTGGTGGTTGTGTCCACAAAACTGATCTCAGAGCCATTGTCTGTCTGATAGTCCTGGTGGCTCCTACCAGTTGGGTTGTCATAGCGATTTTAATCTATGTATTTCAGGTACATGGCGAACATAGAGACCTATCTAAAGAATGTAGCCTTAAAGCATATGCCTCCTAATTTACAGAAAGTGGACCTCTTGAGGTCAGGTAAGAACGTTCTCTTTTCAGTCATCCGGAGGGGCCATCATTTACATGCCAGGTATCTTCAGGTGCTTGAGAATAAGATCTTTACCTTTACTCTTTTTCTCTCAAACATGAAAATAAGTATGTAGATAAGCTGGAAAGAAAAGAGAAGAAGGGTCTTGAGTTCAAAACAGAAAATCATTTAAAGCAGGTATAAGAGTAGCCAGGTGTTCTTCAAGGTTAGGTTAAATTCTTCTGGCTGCCATTATAGATGTAGACTCGCTCACACATTCAGTCACTTGTTCCTTCAGCGGTCATCCAGTGGTCTAGTGGGCCTCTGCACTGTGCTGGCCCTTCGGGGCACTGATGATACAGGGTCTCTGCTCTCAAAGAGCTGGCAGTGTCTTCCTCACAGATGCCAGACTGTGCAGGGACTGCCCAGCTTCCAAGGAGGATTTAAATGGGAGGCTAAGGAAACCTTACCCATAGTAAAGGTTCCTAATCTTTTCATTGTGAAGAGTTTCTCTGATTATGGAAAAGGTGGGGAACGGGACTGAGTGTGGTAGGGAAAGAGGCGCTGGGGGATGTGAAGCATGGCCAACACCTCCACCTCTTGCCCTCTTTACAGAATCCCCTTAAAATTCTGCTGAGGGGAGGGACTTATGGTAGTAACTCCTAACCTTGGATCAACTAACTGGAGACCCCTAGCGTATAGGTTAAAGTCCGTATCTGTCTTTCATAGCTCACCATATTTGAGCAGGACCTTGTCAGACAAAATTGCCAAACCAAATCCAACAGTGCTCCAGGGACAGGAATCCACCTTGTTCACAAACTAAGCTTAGTGTGCTGAAGCCACTTGTTCAAGTACAACTGAGCCCTGGCAGTTTATCTCCTACCAACCTGTGCTGGGCCACACTGACCCCTGTGGCAGGTGGGAGAGCTTGGACAGGATGCATGGAGACGTGTTCCCCAGATGTCTTAGCTCAGGCTACGATGACACCGTACCACAGACTGGGGGTCTCAAACAGCAGACATTTATTTTCTTACAGATCTGGAGGCCGGAAGTCCATGATCAAGGTGCTGGCAGGGTTGGTTTCCTCCGAGGCTCGGTCCTTGGCCTGCAGATGGCCACTTTCAGCCTCTTCACATGGCTGCCCCCGTTGCACCTCCCCCCACCCCGAGTGTCTCTTCCCCTTCTTATAAGGACACCAGTCAGATTAGATTAGACCCCACCCTAACGGCCTCATTTCAGCTTAAATGCCTCTGTAAAGGCCCCATACCAAACACATTTCCATTCTCAAGTACTAGGGGTTAGGGCTTCAGCACATGTATTTGGTGGGGGGCACCGTGCCCACCAGGAGCAAGCCAAACCCATACCAGATTGTAGAACTCTGAATTGGTCATTTTGGTGAACCTGCCTGAGGGAAACAGAAGGCCCAGTCCATGTCCAGTTCAGCTACTTTTGTCTGCACCTTAGAAGAACAGGAATGCAGCAAGGACCACATCCCTAATCATTACCCATTGCTATGGCGACCAGTTGATCAAAGCAGCCATAGGACTGCTGATGGGCATGCATCTGAATTCCTGGAGCTGGACCTACGCCGTTGTCCCAGAGCTTCTACTTGATGCTGGTGGACACCTCCTAAAACACATGTCGCTGTCCTGGATTCCTTACAGGGACTAGAGCCAGTCTTGGAATTGGAAGCTGGGGGACAGCCTGTCCTGGTGAAATTGGAGTCTTGCTTTGTTAGCCCAGATGCTGTGAGTCCCCCTCAGGCCTCTGGAGCACTGTAGACCCCGATGGCAGGGTGGGGGAAGGCACGTTGAAATCTAAGCTGAGTTTCCTGGAATCAGTAGATTCCTAGTGGGGTTAACTCACCCTGAAGTTGGAGTCTCTTTGGCAGGCCCAGAACCCTGGAGCAGTCAGGGCGCCCTCCGTAGACCTTTGGAGCCAGTTATCCTGAACCCCCTCCTGTAAATGAGGGAATCAAGGGCAGTGTGGGACCTGAGTTGGGCTCTAAGAACTGAGAGTTATCCAGTAGGTTCTGGATGCTGCTGTTGGTGGGGTCTTCAGGTACAAATGGAGCGCTAGGAAATGAGCTGTTGAGCAGCCCAGCTTGAGGCATTTGAGATATTGGTTGGTGGTTGAAGAGGAGGGATGGCATAGCTTCTTTATCCGTAATCAACCAGTGAGGGACCACTTAGGCTATCATTCAAGACTATCACTTTATATCCCAGTGTTTCTAAGGTGGCAGGACCCTGAATAACATTTCAGTCAATGTCCCTTCATTATAACATTGATGAAATGCCATAGGAACTTAATTCTTGTTTATATCCATTAGCCTACAGTAAAATTGGTTTTGTTACACATTATTTCACTTAGTCGCAGAACCTATCAACAACATTAAGTGAGGACTTACTGTACTCTCTCCTCCTACTCCTTAATATTAGAAATATTTTCTAACCAGATTTGCACACTCTGTCCCCCCAGGAGGTCATGCATATTTCTGCCGTGGCCTTTGCCATTGCCTACCAGGGTCATGTTCCTCTTTAAATCCTGCTCTTTCCTTTAAAGCGCACGTCAACTTCTTCCTCCCCACATCATTGGGGAAGTGTGCGGCTTCATCCAATGCTGCTATCACCACCTTGTCCAGAGACCAGGTGTTCCGCCTGCCTGTGTCCTCCACAAGGCGTAGCAGAATTCCCTGCACATCTGAAGTCCTCATCATTTGTTGAATGAATGGTTGCTCTGTGGAACCTGGGTGGGAAGTGTGCTGTTTCTAGAAGCCAGATCTCTCCTCAAACCATCCTACCCCCAAAATGCTTTTACATCACGGGTCCTTACGTGCTCAGTACAGTTAATCCCAGCAACTTTTCCCATATTGGTTGTGTTTGCTGAGGATTTTCTGATTGCATTATTGTTTTTTTGGCAGTTCCCAAACCGGATCTAGATTCATATGTGTTTCTGAGAGTGAAAGAAAGACAAGAAAACATCCTGGTAGAACCAGAAACAGATGAGCAGAGGTGAGTGATGTGTGTGATTTTGACAGTGGGAAATATTTCTCCCGATAGACCACCAGCTGAGCTCTGCACATATATTTTTTTCCTTCTTTTTTAGGGACTATGTGATTGACTTGGAGGAAGGCTCGCAGCACTTGATCCGATATAAAACCATTGCGCCTCTAGTTGCTTCTGGAGCTGTACAGCTAATTTAAAACCAAAAATAAATAAACAAGAATGAAGACATGGAACCTTAGAGAAAATATTTAGAAACCCCACATATCACTCTGTGCCTAAGGACAGGCTTTTCTCAGCAGTGCTGTGAGTCACTTGGGCATTGAGAAGGCACTCAGGGTTCCTAACTTGCGCATGCCCTAACTTCCTGCCGGTTTATGTAGAATCAGCAGGTGGGGCCATCGCTCTGTTCAGTCTATACTGGGCAAGTACATGACTGACTCACTTTGTGCACCTTTTCCCTTTGTGGCATTTTTTAAAAAATATTTTTACTGTAGAAATGTGAGGGTTTTTTTTTTCTTTAAATATATTTTTGTTGATCTCAGAGAGGAAGGGAGGGGGAGAGAGATAGAAATATCAATGATGAGCGAGAATCATTGATTGGCTGCCTCCTGCACACCCCAGTCTGGGCATCGAGCCCACAACCCGGGCATGTGCCCTGACCAGGAACTGAACCGTAACCTCTGGTTTATAGGTTGACGCTCAACCACTGAGCCATGCCAGCCAGGCCCTTTGTGATATTTTTTGAACTAAGGAAAGTGAGGCAAAGGTAATTCATAAAGAGGCATCACTGCCTGTGATATGGGGACTGTAGTTAGCGCTGACCTGGTGGTGGCAGGAGAATTCATTTAACCTTCCTAGTGGAAAGAGTGTAAATAGATGAAAGAAAACAGCTGTGACCTTCTTCTCTGATGTGTCTCTAAATTGTATAAACCTTTGGAACCTCTAACATTGGTCATCAAACCAGTTTCTGTCTTACTTAACTGAGAGTCACAACTAAACCAATAAATCATTAAGTTTCAGTTTTGTGGCAGAAGGAGCCTGGGGACAGTTCTCGGCTTGTAGTCTAACACAGCCTGTTCTCCCTGCTGCTGACCTGCAGCCTTCCCGGAACCTCAGGCAGCTTCGCCAAGCCAGCCTCCGGGCCATCTGGTCATCCTTGGCCAAGGCGCTGTTAGCAGAATGGCATTAATACCCTATATTGTGACTGCAGTAGCAGATTTTCTTTTTTAAGCTTTACTTTATCAGGGGAAACAGATGACATTAAATTGATGCTAATGGAGATTATCACCCTGATGCCCTAAGAAGGGACGTGAACAGTGAATGAATTGTCTTCCCTCGAAACATAAAAAGCAGTCTGCATTTCAGTCTTTTCTTGCTTAATGAACAGGTAGGCGATTTTTATTTACGTGGTATAGGTTGTTAGAGTAATCAATGTAATATTGCTATGATTTCCAAGAGAAATTGCCAAATGAAAGCAGGACGATTTCATTAATAAAAGCCTTTTAGCCCTGAGCCCAGCTCAGTTGGAGCATCATTCCATACACCAAAAGATTGTGGGTTTGATTCCTGGTCAAGGAGCATACCTTGCTAGGTTGTGGGTTCGATCCATGGTCAAGGTGCATATGGGAGGCAACCTATCAATGTTTCTCTCTCCTTCCCTCTCTAAAAATCAATGAAAACATATCCTCAAATAAAGCATTTTATATTTTATGTAGTAGCTTATTTTTTCCAGAATGTTTTTACCTTCTCTAGTCATCTTAACAAATGTGTATTGAGCATTAGTGTGACAGGCACGGTTCAAGGCACTGAGGCTTCAACCCAGAATAAGACAGGAACTGTCCCTGCTCACATGGTGGTAAATGCCTTACAGAGAATTAGAAAAGGTGCCTCAGGGAGCGTGACTAGATTGGGTAGTCTGAGAGGTTCTCACTGAGTTCAGTGAATCTCACTGTAATAGGCTGAGATCTGAATCACCAGAAGTAGCCAGGCACACACAGATCATAAGGAAGGCCATGCCAGGCAGAGAAGGCAGCTTGGACAAGGCCTTGAAGCAGAAATGGGCTCTGCTTGCAGTCAGTGTGGCTAGAACACAATGTGTGAAATTGTGCAGCATAAGACCCAAGAGGCAGGCTGGGCCCAAATCACTAATGGGTTTGTTAGCAGAGATCCCATTTGGTCCTCCCAGCAGTCCTGCGAGGTAGGCAGGGCTGGTAGAGTGTAATAGGTGGGAAACAAAGCGGGATGTTCAGTGATAAACCTGAGACTAGAACCTAAGGGTCCTCCTTCCTAGTCACAAGTATGCACACTCACTCACCAGGGCCCCCATCGTGCTAAGCAGCCAGGAGAGGAACGTGGACTATTACACTGTTACTAGAGGCCCAGTACAGAGATTCATGCAGGGTGGAGGCGAGGGGGAGGGGGTCCCTCAGCCCAGCCTGTGCCCTCTCGCAGTCCAGGACCCCTCTGGGGATGTCTGGCTTCTGGCTGAGTGGCACTCCCCCTGTGGGAGCACACTGACCACCAGGGGACAGCTCCTGTGTTGAGTGTCTCCCCCCTGGTGGTCAGTGCGCATCATAGCGACCGATTGTTCCACCGTTCGGTTGATTTGCATATTAACCTTTTATTAGATAGGATAAGTACTTATTAAGCCTTAATATACCCAGGGTCTGGAGATCTTGTTCAGATGTTAGATTCTGATACAGGAGTTCTGGGGTAGGGCCCAGGGTTCAGAGGACATCCTAGGCTGTGCAGTTGCTGCTGACCCAGGGACCACATTTTGAGTGGCAGGACCCTACATTTTCATGTCTCCAGCTCCTGTCTTATGCATGCCCGGCTGCACGGAGGAGTTTAAGGTCTCTACTGAAGCCACAGAGTAAATTGCTCCATTTCCTAGTCACCTCTTCACAGGAAGACTGGCTTTAAAATAAATGGGAAGTTGAATTTCAAAACCAAATAGAAAGGGAAATGATGTGGCTTAATGTGACATTCATTGACTTGAACTTTTTCAGTTTGTGGTGTTTTGCTTTATTGTTAAAAACTCATCACAGGAAGCATGACAGAACATTATCTCCGAATGATTGCATCATACTTTATTATCATGAGCTTGTCACCAGCAAGATGGCTATTCCTGAGAAGTGCTTGCAGGTTCATGTCTGGGTTTTCCCAGCCGCAGCGACCATGTGTCAACTGTGACCTTCCCACAGGACCCCAGCTGCGTGTGCTGTGTGCTCTGTGCCCAGGTCCCAGCAGGTACCAAGTTCAGCACCATCCTCATATGCAGTGAACTTCCTTCTGTGATGTACACCAGGTTAATCAAAAAGCTTTTGGAGTGAATTGTTAAGCTAGCACATTATTTTTCTATTCTAAATGTAATTTTTTTAAAGTAATTTATCATGGGAGGCTAAACATCCCAAACATTTGGAATTCTTCAAGAACTGATTTTTCTTTTTGTGTGTGTGTTGTAAAATACACGTAACATAACAATTGCCACCTTAACCATTTTTAAATGTACAGGTCAGTGTTATTAAATACATTTACCTCATGCAACCATCACCACCATCCATCTCCATAACTCTTTTCACCTTGTAAATCTTAAACTGTATACCCACTAAACAATAACTCCCCATGCCCGTCTCCCTACAGCCGCTGGACTCCACCCTTCTACTTTGTCTTTATAATCTTGACTACTCCAAATGCCTTATATATGTAGAATCATGTCGTATTTCTCTTTTTGTGACTGGTTTATTTCCCCTAGCATAACGTCCTCAAGGCCCATCCCTGTTGTAACATGCATCAGACTTTTCTTTTTAAGGCTGAACAATATATCATGGTGTGTATATACCACATTTTGTGTATCCAGTCATCTGTCGATGGCAATGTATTGCTTCTACCCTTTGTCTAGTGTGAATAGTGCTGCTATAAACATGGGTATACAAATGTCTTTTCAAACTGTTTTCAGTTCTTTTACAAACATGCCCAGAAGTGGGATTGCTAGATCATATGGTAATTCTAGTTTTAATTCTTTGAGGAACCACCATACTGTTTTTCACAGCAACTATCCCATTTTACATTCCCACCACAGTACACATGGGTTCCAGTTTTTCAAATTCCTTGCCTACACTGGTTTTCTATTACTTTTTATAGTAGCCATCCTATTGTGCGTGCAGTGTTATGTCATTGTAGTTTTGATATACAATGATTACAATTTCTAATGATTAGTGATGTTGAGCATCTCTTCATGTGATTATTGGTTATTCCTATATCTTTGAAGAAATGTCTATTCAAGTCCTTTTTTGTTCTTGAGTTTTACGAGTTCTCTGTATATTCTAGGTATTAATCCCATATCGGATAAATGATTTGCAAACATTTTCTCCCATTCTGTGGGTTGCCTTTTTACTCCATGAATAGTATTTTTTTATGTATAAGATATTTTAAATTTTCATAATATTTGGTTTGTCAACTTTTTCTTTTGTCACCTGTGTCTTTGGCCAGGGGTGGAGGATGGGTAGCTACTACTGTGCTAAGAGCTGAAACTGACCAAAATTAGCTGCAGTTTACTGTTCAGATCTTCCCTGGAATTTGGGAACCTTCAACAGACTCCAGAGTCCCAAAATAGTTATATCAGACAGATTCTGCCAATGCACTTGTCTAGGTGGAAAGAGAGATTCCTGGTGCTTTCTACTCTACCATCTTCCCATAATCCTCTAAAAATTGATTTAGCATATCTAATGGAAGTAGTCTCATCTTGTAAAAAAAGAAAAATACTTTTTTAAAAAGAAAAATCAGTATTTTTTACTTATTTAACAGACTTGATTTCAAATAACTTAGCTGTTTCCAAAAAAATTGAATATTCCTTCCATGGCTGAAAAACAACTATCACAGATATCCAAAGGAATGTACTGTAAATTCTGAAGACAATAATAATAATGAATAAGGCTTACCAACTATTTATTATGAATCAGACTGTTAGGTAAACTTGTAAATCTTCACAACAACCTTGTGCAAGGAAAAACTAACGGGTTGGAATGAGTAAAAAAGATTACTCGATTATCCTCTCATTGGGATGCTTGATCATGCCTTTGAATAGGCTATTTGACACTTCGATAAAGGTAGAAGTTAATTTATATAAAACTGATAATAATGAGAATATTTCCTAACTGGTGCTATGTAAAGGATTCCTGTCCAAGGGAATGCAAGTGATTTTGTCCTGTAGAGAATAATAAAATCAAATCCTCATTTGAACCACTTTTAGCATTTTCCTGGTTCTCTCATTAAAGAGCAAGTTAAATAAAATCTTTGGCACGTGTTCATTTTATATCTGCATGAGAGTCAACAGTTCCTACCATATAAGTGTTCACAAATAGATTTTAATCTTTATACATTTATAGCATAGGTAATGTTGGTATCCTTGTTTTTAGATGAGAAATAGACTATGGTACTGAAGGCCACATAGATACTAGGTAGAGGAGATGGGATGCAAATCCCAGTGAGGCCAGAGTTCATCTCCTTGACTACCTTGTGGTATTTTGCAAGTAAATATCACAGAAGGAAAGAAGACCCAAACATGTTTTGCGCAATGATAGCTTCAGTGGAGTAGGGTTAAATCTTTAAAAAAAAAAACAACTCCTTAGACTTACAGGAAGTAACTACTACCATTCACATTATTTTAGAGCAAGTGGCAATTTTCTTGCAGTATTTTCTGCTTTAAGCAGATCATGTTCTATATACCACAGTGCTTACAAATGCCACCTAACTTGTTAAGACTAAATAAATAAATAAATTCTGCACACAATTACTTAAGTCTACCTTCCTGGCCAGTGCTATTAGGTTCTGTGAGAAGAACAAAAGTAAAACTACTTCTGCCCCCAAGGAATTTACAGTGAATCCTAAGAAGACTCCTTACGTGTAAATCTAAAAATAGGATATTGTTTGGCTCAGGGAAAAAAAAAATTGCTTTTTTAGCAGGACTAAGAAGGTTGAAAGGAAATGATTTTCTTGGGTTCAAACTGTTGTATATGAATGTTTTAAGCCTCTTAA